TTTATTAATGAATATAATAATAAACCTAGATAAAAAACCTTAAAATTGTGCATCTCGTGCATCGCACGGACTCTAATAAACCTTAACAATACAACATTATTGAGTTGATGCCGTGATTAAAGTACTGTTACTTATCCAAATCAATATTGTGCCTTGTTTTTTAAACTAATATGATATTTGTATACTACATGAGTACTTAAATATATTAATATTTATACTATTAAAAATAATTAGAATAATTTATATTTAATTTTGAAATTATGTAAAATGACTATACCACAATAACAAATAACTAAGTGATAAATTCAATATAGAACCCATATTTTACAATAAATTTGTCAAAAATAGCAATTTTTAGTTATTTTAAATTTATGTATGTCTAAAACATATATTATTTATAATTTCATATATTTTATTCTAATTTATAAATAACACAACTTTTAATGTATTGCAATTATATTTATATTCTAGAGTCGGTGTCGCTTGTTTATAAATTTGTTATGTATTTTAATTTATATTATTTACTAATATATAATATTAATTTACATAAAAAATGTATTTCTTTATAACTTTGTAAAATTGAAAAAAAATCTTTTTTATCTGATACTCCTTTAAATTTATTATTTAGACAACATATTATAATTCCTTTATTTTATAATCTATTTAAATAGATAATTAATATTTCATAATATTTTTTTCAAAATTCATTTTATTTAATACTTAATTTTCATATTATATCTGAAATCTCTGAAAAAAATACATTAAAATGATTATTTTATAGTGCATTAATGAATTAAATTATTATTGTTATTATTATTATTATTATTATTATTATTTGATATTTTAAAAATTTATTAGATATAAATTAGTTTTTTTATAAATATAGATAGTGTTATTTTTTATTTTGAAAATAAAATATAGATGTCAAATCGTAGATCATTTATAATATGATTATTTTGATATATCTTATTTAAAAAATAGAATACAAATAAAACAGATATAGAGTTTTAGAAATAAAAGAATAATTTTTAATAATTTATAACACTGTAATAAAATCGGCCAAGGCGCCGTCCCACCACCTCCTATTTGCATGAAAACGACTGAAAAAATCAGATATAGAGTTTTAGAAAT